GGTTAGGGAAGTTTTCAGTTATTATTTCTTTAAATAAGTTTCTACACCTTTCTCTCTCCTTTTTCTGGGACCCATGTAATGCAAATATTTGCTTGATGTTGTCTAAGAGTTCCCTCAGTCTAGCCCCATTTTAAAAAGTTCTTCTTTGTTTAGTTTGTATGCTTTCCATTACCATTCCAAATCGCTAATACATTCTTCTGCATCCTCTTCTCTGTTGATTCCCTCTAATGTGTTTTTATTTCAGTGAAGGCATTCTTAGCTCTGCTTGGTTCTTTTAAATATTTTCTATCTCTCTTTTTTTTAAAAGATTTTATTTATTTGAGAAAGAGGGTGAGTTGGGGGAGAGGAAGAAGCAGACTCCCCACTGAGTGGGTAGCCTGACATGGGGCTTGATCCCAAAACCCTGAGATCATGACCTGAGCAAGAGGCAGATGCTTAACTGACTGAGCCAGCCAAGCATTCCAATATTTTCTGTCTCTTTGTTGAAAGTCTCACTGAGTTCTTCCACTCTCTTCTCTAGCCCAGCATCTTTACAATTATTTAAATTATTTATCAGGCATATTGCTTATCTCTATTTCATATAGTTCTTCTTCTGAGATTTTTTTTCCTGTTCTTTCTTTTAGATCACACTTTTCTGTCTCCCCCATTTAGGTTGACTCTCTGTTTATTTCCATGGGTTAGGCAAAATGACTACTTCTCCTAAAGTTGAGGAGTGGTCTCATGTATGGTGACACCTATGAAGACTGCGTGTGCTTGGTGACATTTGCTGGTTGGCTGGAACTGTGGTTATATGTGCTAGTTACGCTTTTAAACAATGGTTTTTTACCAAAAGAATAAAGAAAAAATATGATAAAATTTTCAAAAGAAAATAAGAAAAAGAACAAGGCCAAAAAGAAGAAAATCAAAACAAGATATGACAAATTTTAAAAAGTAAAAAAAGAGATAAATGAAACAAAACCACAGCTTGTTTTCTGCACCCCAGCACCACCCTGTGGCTGATCTGAACTTTTGAGGGGAGGGGATAGAACATTCTCACAGTTCCTTGGCTCTTTCAAACCTCGGCTTTTTTTCTGTGCCCCAGCTGACTGAAGTTGGTGTGGGCTTCAGAACCCCAGGCTTGCTGAGGGCGCCAGCTTCCTGTGATGAGCAGAGCCACCAGCGGTGGTGTCAGGACCCTGCGGTAATGACATTCAAAACCACCCTTATGGTGGCCAGACCTTGCTCCAGTTTGGGCCCTTGAAGCAGGAGGGAGAGGAGAGGGTTCCCGTAAATCCTCTGCCCTTTTAAACCATGGCTCTTTTTCTATGTCCCAGCACATCTAGGGATGGCGTTGGTCTATGGATCCCGGCTTTCACTGAGGTCACAAGCTGACCGAGATGACCAGACCCACTTGCCATGGTGTCTAGACTCTTCCAGTCCAGGCTTCCCAGATGGGGTAGGATTACAAACTGCCTCCCTTTGACCTGCAGAGCTTTCTTGCAGCTGCTTCTGCAGCTTGGCAGAGTTGTTCTTGGCAGAGTGGATCTTCTATGTGCTAGTTGCTTCTTTAAACCTCAGGGTTTTTTTCCTGTGCCCAAGGACAGAGGCATCTATTCCCGAATGGGGGTTCCCTTTGTTACCACGTCTCTGTCTTGCTCTTTTCTTTGCCTTTGGTTGGTTCAACAGCTGTTCAGTTGGCCCCTAGTTCTTCAGGACGAGTTGTTCTATTAAGAGGTGTAATTTGGTGTGTTCTGTGGAGGAGGCGAGTTCAGAACCTTCCTGTGTTGCCATCTTAAACTGGGCATCGCACTTGGAGACACAAGTCGGGCTGTGTGAATGACCCTCCCCAGTTTATGTCTCTCCCACCACTTGGCTCCTTCCCCACCCTTCCGGCAGCAAAGAGTGAGGCCAAGCCTTTCCAAGGGGCAGGGCTCCCCTGGGCTGCGTTCTATGTGGGGTTTGTTCAAGGCCAGAGATGACTTTCAGGGGATCGGGCAGTGAAGTATATTCTGTTTTTCCTGTGGAAACAAAGGGAGGGGCCTGGTTACCTGCTTCTTGCCCTCAACCTGCAGGTTCATTCAGACTCCCCCTCACTCACACTCCCCTTCGCTCTCTTTTAGCAACTATGGGTCTCCCTTCATAGTTTTAATTCTTGAGTATTATTTTCATGTGGCTTGGTTTTCTTTGGGCGGGGCAGGGGGTGCGCTCCTCTCATTCACTCTAAAGCCCCAGCAATTTGTTAACTCAATGACCCAACTGAGTGCCCTTCTTTCCGCATTTGCTCAGCTGATCACCTGGCAGCATTTGACTCTGTTTACATATTCTCTTTCCTTGGCTTCGGGGACACTTCCCTCTCCCCTTTCTCTGAGTCCCTCTTCAGCCCTCCTTTCTAGTTAACTGTCTTGGAGGTGCCAACTCTCTCCTCTCCCTGTCTTTCAGGCACAAAGGCTACCTGAGTGCCGGTGCGATCGCACCTGCCCACTGGACAAGTCCCAACTGGGGATTATGCACGCACCTTACGCCACGTATGTCCACAATGCTGGCATTTTCTGGTGGCTCAGCCCCGTGCCAGTACAGGCCCTCCCCTATGAGTTCATGCCCTCGCCATCCACTCCCCCCCTAAGCTCGAGCTCTTAAGTTTGACTCTTTCCCTCCCCACCTTAACGTTTTGTGGCACCTTCCAGTAAAATCTCCCTCATGATCTCCTCCTCCAGGCCCCACCCCAGTTCTTTGTCTCTGCCCCTGGCTTCTCCTACCTCTTCTCCTTTCCCCAATTATATTATTTTTCTCCATGACCATCGCACCCATCGTCCATCTCCCCAGAATACTGTCACAGCTTCCTGGTGGCAGCACACTCCAGGCTAACATGTTTAGCCTCATCCTTTGCCTCTACCTGTCACCCTGCATGCTCTATACTGAGGCTCCTCTTAACTAGTGGAAGTTTCTGGAATGCACAATAGCAGCCCTGTCATTATGCCTTTCTCTAATATTGCTGCTTCCTTCTGCTGGAACAACTCTTCACCCAATTCTTTCCTCCTTCTACCACTGAGTCTCTAAGTGTGCTTCCAGGTCTGACTCCACTTCCTTTCCTTACAGAAGGGCCTCTCTACTTCCCACCCAGGTCAATTGTTACCCCTCCTCTGGGCTTGCTTAATGACTTACTCATCTCTGAGACCACACTTCTCTTGTGGTACAGAGACGGTTGCTTTGAAGTCTGTGGCCTGGTCTGCTCTCAAGGTTTATTCACCTTTGTGCCTTAGCAGAAATGAAAGATGACCTAATTAGGAATCTTAGGAGGAGAAAGCAGCAGGGGAATCTCTGGCTTCTGCAGGGTCTCAGAGTTTATCTAAATCCCAGAGGGCTAAACTTTTTTTTTTTTTAATGATGGCTCGTTCTACATGGGCTAGCTCCGCGGAGTGCTTCAATCTTTGAGAAATTGCAATGTCTAGTATTTGTTACTAAGGGATGAGGAGTTCATGTCCCTCCTCGGCTAGGACATCAACCCAGGCAAACTTGAAGAAAACGTTCTTTGGTTGTTCAGTGCTCAGGAGTCCCAGGCTCGGGTGCCTTCAGGGGTCAGCGAGCTGTAGGCGGTGCTGTAGGAGCTTGCAGGGACCTGACCTCAGCCACCTTCACGGTGGGTCCCCGGGAGCGGCCGCCAAGACCCAGAACGACCGCAGTTGCAAGCTGCTTGCCCTCTTGCTGTTACTCCAGTGTTCCCTCCACAGTTTCCTAAGACAGGAAAATGACCTACGCATGGACCCACACTTTTTTTTTCTATGACTGAAAATCATGCTTTCCTGAAAACCATGACCTCCTGAAGGTCTAGACATATTTCCGGTGACCACAGTCCTGTGAGCGTGCTTATTTCTTTGTGTGCCTCAGAAGAGAACTCTTCTTAAGTATGTGGATGTGACTGATTTTGAAAAAAAGCCTGCTGTAACCAAAACACACTCGAGTTTTCTTTATATAAAGAAACTAAGAAACATAATGGGGTGAACACTTAAGAGGAGGTCTTTTACTTTGCAGTAAATTATCAGGCTTTGCCCTAGAGACAAAAGGATTTCTTCTATTTGTAAGTATGGATTGATTCCACCCACTGTTTAAAAGGGAATCTCAGGGTCCCTGGGTGGCTCAGCGGTTTAGCACCTGCCTTCAGCCCAGGGTGTGATCCTGGAGACCCCGGATGGAGTCCCACGTCGGGCTCCCTGCATGGAGCCTGCTTCTCCCTCTGCCTGTGTCTCTGCTTCTCTCCCCCTCTCTGTCTCTTATGAATAAATAAAAATCTTAATCTACTGAGATTTCCTTTTATTTTTTTTTCTTTTCTTTTTTAAGTGGAGGCTCTTTAAACTGTCCTCTCGTGCTCATGCCTGAAACCTCTGGCCCCATTCAGAGAACTACGGTGAAGTCCCCCTCTTGCGCCATCCCCGTTACTATCCAGGAATTTAAGCAATTTCAAAAGCGGACTTTGAGCACATCTTTTGGACTCGCTCTTTTTAATATCACTGCTCAACACTCTACACTGACACACCACCCCCTATCAGTGATCCTGCTCCATGACCTTGACTTAAGATGAAGTCTCTCTGGGGCTTCAGGGTGGCCAAGTCTCTGCTCACATCCCACTCCTCAGCTCAGCCTCTCTCTGCCAGACTGGGGCCCAGAGCATCGTCCCCTCAACCATGCCAGGGCTCCTCCTCAGGTTATTCTATGGAGCAGATCTGTTATAACCATCATATCCTCTGCTCGTCTAATTGGTCTTACGTTTTTCCTGTAATAAGAATTTCCTGAAACAGTTTAACTTGGTCTATGAATACTGTGTAAAGGTAATCATGTTACGTAACAGGCCATGCATTGTTTATTGAAATGAAGAATTAAACGTTTAAAATGAATTGCTAAAATATCCCTTTATTAAAAAAAAGATACCTGAGTAATAGGTCGTTTGGAATACCATGCAGGCACACATTTTAAGAGCTTTGAACCAAATAAGAACAATCTCAACATGCTCTGTTTTAGTGTAAAAATCAATTTATTATACAACAATCATACAGAATGCTTATCTGTCTACAAAGAAAAATGGCTTCTCCTGCCTCCCTGTCCACCCCAACCATGATAGTATGGGCTCAAGTACTTTCGAAGGAAAACCAGAAAGTGATATCCTTACTTTCTAAAAAAAGGAAGTCCCCCAGAAACCTCATAAAATGATATGGAAGAGTCAGAATAGCCTCTTACATGCCCATAACAGTAAGTATCATTTGTCTTACAAACAATCCCTCTGGTGGCCATGGGGAGGACCTCCTCTCTCAATATGCGTAAGGGCTTCAATATTAGCATTTTGATGGGTTGAAAATGTCACTTCATTTCCATCTAACATTCCATTTTGTTTAAAAAACAATAGGAATTTTTAACGTGCTTATAGTTCATATTTTCATTCTTATGAATAAAAGGAAATTTGGGAAAAGTTTTCATTCTTCTAACAGATTAGATAGGTTTTTTTTTTTTTTTTGCAGTCTTAGGAAAATCACATTAAATGTAGACATTTTGCTTTTTAAAGTTCCAGTACGTAATGACAAGTTAAAATATTTTAACTGATTCAGTTTTCGTGGCTAGGATTTCACAGCTCTGTGTGTTCGTATCAGCCGTGGAATGGTTTAAGGCGAGCAGTGTTTGATTAGCTTCACTAGAATTAAAGATCCAATGGGAAATCACGCCCTGAAACCTCTGAATTGAGCTGGAAAGCGCAAACTACCCGTGTTTTTCCCACTGAAAACTCAGAGGTCTCCAACTGCCCTATAATTAGAGCTGCCGGGCTTTGTCATTCTGCTAAAGGACGGCTTCCCTCCTTGCTCTGCCGATACCAACTCCAGGAAAGCACCAAAATTGCAGGTAAGACGCTGAACGGGGAGATTTTAGGGCCTCCCTGACATTTGAGAACCAGCTGCAAACAATGAATGCCTGGTAAGGTCCAGCTTCTCCCCGATTCTCATTTTTTCCCCCAGAATGCACTTTAATAACAGATTTTTAGTCTTTACTTGGGACCTAAAGCTGAACTAGAATCCAGTTGCCCTGAGGGGTTTTCTCCTTAGTCCAACCCGTGTTTTGCGACAGGGGAGTAGTCAGAGGCATACTTGGGGCTAGCCCTTATTTTAAATTGAATTTCTGCTGGGATGGAATAAAGTGGGGATTAAGCACCCTAGAAAAATTAATTTTAGAAAACTTTTTAGAAAAATAAATCCAAGAGTAAGCTGGCATCAGACCTAAATGTTCAATAAAAATGGACCAAGTGACCATATGTCACACGTACATCTATGCACAGTGCAGTTACTATGACAACCAGCTAAGATCTGTCCCTTCCACAAAGCAGGCTGGGACCTGCAAGGGGAGTGGACGTGACTGAAAAGTGAGAAAACATGAACGGTGTCCATGTTCAGTGTCATACCAGCGTCCAAGCTCTTTTGTAAGTGGGGAAAAGAATGCCAAACCCTAGAAAGCGAGGGGAAAGAGGACAGAAAGTCACTCCCTAACCGACTGCCCTGTGTCCGGGCCACCATAAGAAGCCTTTCTGGCACTTGTGCTGCTGACCTCAACCCTACGACCTACAGGTTATTTGAAAGAGAAGGTGTCACAGGTGGCACATCTTGTACTACAGGGTATAAATCTTCCTCACATCTTCAAAAAATATTTCTGTTCTTGGTGCAACAGTCAAAGCCCAATACTTGGGGAGAAAAAAAAAAAAAACACTATCCACTCCTGCTTTCCTCTCTGCTTCTGTGCTTGTTCTCTATTAGAACTCGTGTCAGCCGGGCAGGGAAGGGAGGTGCTGATTTTGCCAAATTGGCACTTTTCATCGAGGTGCATTCCCAGGCCCCGGCTCAGTGTCAGGATCTTTCCATAGTTCTCTCTGCTTCCTCTTTTCAAAAACCTAACCTACAAAGAGTGACTGCAGGTATGTGGGGCTAAGAGTCAGAAGCAGGCTCATGAGACATAGCAGGCAAAGTCAGTGTCTGTTTTGCCCCAACTGTTCTGATTTACAAATATTTCAGTGGCTTATCCTTCTAGGGAGAAGGGAAGATTCCTGGTCGGAAAGCAAAATAGGCAGCCCGAGTTAGATCCTGCTTTTAAAACTGGGCAAGGTGCCTGTTTACAACCTAACCTAGGGGAATGGAACATAGGAGGTAGATGGCGAATATATGAATAGTTATGGAAACTAAGTTAAAACTGAACAACTCCTATCCAAAGCCCCTGAGCTCTGAGGATTTGGCAGAGGATTTTTTTTTTCCTTCTTAGAAAAAGTAATCGTCAAAATACAAATTTCACTGCCATATCACTAAGTTGAGACTTAGGCCTCTGACAGACTCTTCCTTAAAAGAGAAAAGTTGTTTTGCTAGGTTCTCCTGGCTTCCATTTATAATCCATTTTAATATTTTCCGGGGTGGAATCCTAAGGGAACAAATGGACTGATGACTTTATTGCTTCATGAGGATAAAGCAATTATTGCTTCATATAGATTAAGACATACCCTGTAGTTAGAAACTAACATTTTGTTTTAAGCATTTTAATCTGAATAAAACCTTTTATTTGAAGACTGACTTTGGAAAACAAGGCTCCATGTCTCCTGGCTTTGTATGTGCGTAAGGCGTTATGGAGACAGTTTCTGGCGAGGGGCTCGGCTTGCGGGGAGGAGGAGAGAAGCTGCACCAGTTCTGAGGTGACACGGTGTGCTAATGGAAGCATTCAGGTAACAGATTAACCTAATGGCAATATATTAATACATTCCGGGTACAAATGATTTATAAACTCAAAAGAAATTAGTTTATGCTAAAACATAATATAACTTTCAATTCAGTCTTTGCTTTAAAACAAGCGAATCTGTTAGGCTGTCATATGTGCTTGGTCTGTTATTCGGCGTTTACTGTGCTTTCTTGTTTATTACCCCGTTGGCTGCGGTGACGTAGGCTTTGGAAAAACCATTCTTAACTTCTTTCCCTGCAGGTGGCTCTTCCATATTTTCCTTCGCTGGCTTTTTCCTGTATGTCTGTTGGATGTATATATTTCAAAGAGGAAGAAGAAAGGGATTCTTGAGTAAGACTCTGTTTCTGACACGGCATATCATCTAAAACAGTTCATGGTTTGATTGTATAATGGACAAAGGAGAATTTTTGTAATATGACAATTTTTAAGCTAATGGTTAAAAACATAAATAGGGTAGGAAACCAAGACAAACATGAATGAATTACAACAAAAGGTTGTTTCTTTCACCTTGTCGACACTGGCTAGGATTTATGTATTATGGGATTAGCATTCAAATTATTCTGTGTTAGCTGCTTACTTGTAGTTCCTAAAAATTAGATCCTTTCCAATTCAAGTTGAAAAAGTGCTGTTATTCAAAAAATACCAGTACCTCAGATTCTGGCTTGATTTGGGTTTTGGCATGTCCTTCCTATTCTGACAAAATACCTGATTTCATCTTTTTTTCTTTTCTTTTTTTTTTTTTTTTAAAGCAATGGTACTAACAAGGGTCAGGACTGAAATTGTATACTCAACTCTAAGGAGTCAGACTCCATTTGAACCAACAAGTAGGGTTGAAGTCCTGAGCCCACTGCCCACCCTGTGGGGCCACGCGCTCCTCAGGCACCACGTGGACTCCCTTAGCTTCCCTGCTGGTCTGTTTCTGCTTCTGTTCAGCTGGCTTTGTTTGGTTCTCCCCATGGTTATTTCTTTAGAAATTCTCACAGGAAACTTTTATCTCTTACAAAGCACAAAGCCTGGCCAGACCAATTTCAGAAACATGGGGGCTTAAGAACCAGCCAGAAGTTCAGGTTCCCACAGCTGGACGAAGCCCCTTGTGGGTTAACTTGCAGCACACGCAAACGGAGAAAGCAAGCACTTGTCTGAATAAAGAAATACAGTTGATTGCAATTTCGAGAAAGTACCATTTTGAATATAAATATGTTTCTACGGTATTTTTTAAAGCCCCCAAAGGAGAGCAACTTAAAATCTCCGACCACCCAAGGCCTGCACTCCGTTAGGGCTTCCATCAGTTTTTGTCTTCACAGAGCGGCTCTGAACTTGCGTTCTGAGGCTCTGCTCCATTTAAACGATTGCTTAAAAAGGAAATGACACTTAGTGAAGAAAAAGCCAATGTGACCACCAGGGCTAGCCCTAAAAGAATTTTTTTTCCCAAATAGTGATTCTGCAGTGTCCCAGTTGCTGACATAGAAACCAATTTGATTACTCAAGTCACTGAGCCTGTGTCCTCCTCCATTCAAACAGATTTGCTGCCTCCACATAGAAGACTTTGGCAGCACGGTGCAAACACATGAACCAAACGTGTGACTTCATTAAGCTAGAATAAAGGGCCCTCTGGGCTACGGCAGTGGTTGCCATCCAAGAGGAAGATGCAGGGAATAGAGTGAGAGGGGCAGGTGTCTGTGCCTCCGTTCCCCACAAGTACGTGCTACCCGACTCAATCAGCAACCTTAAGCCTGCTGTGAGGGCCAACGCTCTGCACTCGGTCTTGCCGCTGGAGACTGACCGGTCACTTACCTGCGCATAAAAGTTCAGGAAGAGGATGACTAATGTGAGCATGTAGGAAGACTGGAAGATCAGACAGCCCAGGGGGAAGCCACAGGGCTTGACCACCGCACTCATGGTATGTGTGATGGTGAGCACGAACTGCACCTGCGGGGAGAGCGGGCAGGAGGGCGGCACCTTGAGGCTACAGGCAGGCCACAGGAAAACCATTTTGAAGTTTGACAGCACTCCCTAAGTTTCGCAGGAATAAAACAAAACTCTGTAGCAGCCCACTATCCTCTCCGGACAGCTTACTTGAAATTACACTGGTAGGTGTGGGCACTTACCACTAATTTTCTCATGGAAAGGTAGCGGGTGAAATTCTTTGCGTAGAGAGGAATCCTTTAACATTAATGTCTGTGTTAAGTCATCTACGTATCATCTATGTTTCAAAGCTAGGAATGCGCTCATTGTATCCACAGGGGACACTTTAGCACAGCAGGTTCAATTCTTACAAGGCAAATTTGAGGGGCACCTAGGTGGCTCATGGTTAAGTGTCTGCCTTTGGCTCAGGTCATGATCCCAGGGTCCTGGGATCGAGTCCAGCATCTGGCTCCCCATGGAGCCTGCTTCTTCCTCTTCCTATGTCTCTGCCTCTCTGCCTCTCTCTCTCTCTCTCTCTCTCTCTCTCTCTCGTGAATAAATAAAATCTTTTTTTTTTTAAAAAAAGGCTAATTTGAGAGGGAAGCCGGCAGCCTCCGCACACAGAAAAGCCCCTGTCAAAGATGACAGCTGCCTTTCCTCCACCTGTGAGAATATATTTGGATGCTCCACATGGAGAAAAGCTGAACGAAGGGATAACATACCAGCTGAGCCTGTGTGAGATATTTCTTCCACCACAGATACTTGTGCATAGACGGAAACACAGAGAGGCCGTAGTAGGAGTACATGAGAATGTGGATAAAACTGTTCAATGTCGGTCCAAAGAAACCTATAGAAGTACAGAAGAAAAATTACTGTTCGCCCTTTAGCAGATGGGAGTGAGTCTTCCTGTGAAGAGGAGAAACTGCACTACTCTCACACGCCGGAATCTCACTGAGAAATTCACCTTCATCTCTGTGCTATCCTTACTCCGGGGTTCAGCCACAGTCACTGAGACAGGACTGGGATGGCCCTTCAGCCACTGTGTCAACCAAACAGGTAATTCCTCATCTGTCATTCCTATCCACTAATCTGGGAGAAAAACGACATGTTAGCTTAAAACGGGTGGCACAGTTCCTTTGAAAGAGACGGGTCTCCGCTTTCGCTAAACCTTTGATGAATCATTTTGATTGTGGAAAGAGGGTACGTGGGTGAACAAGAGAGTATGATGCTCTTTATAAATTCTACCTGAAAGGGGCCCAGGAACCAGGAGACATGGGGGGGAGGTGAGGGCAGGTGCAGCAAGGGAGGACGCTGGGACAAGAGAGATCAGAAACTTAATTTTAGGACATCTGCTGTGCTAACCTGTGCTATGCCACTCTCCACCCCTGCCTTCCTGAAGTCCCTGCAGCTGCCATCACTGTGGGCGAGGGGTGTGTTTCAGGAAACCAAAGGGAAAAGAGCTAAGTTCTTGGTTGACTCAACTCAGAAGCAGAAGGATTTAGCTGCAAGGGATGAGATGTCAGAGACGGGTTATTTGTTGGAAGCCCGGATACTCACTGTCGTGAGGATTAAATCAATAATTACATGCAAAGTGCTTACAACAGTGCTGGGCAAGGTGAATACTACTTCCGTGCTATCTTGGGGGATCCGGATAGAGCTCTGAGTCCTGCAGCGGAAGGCGCTGAGGAGCTAGAGGACCCTGAGTAGCTAAGTCCCCTGGGATATGTGGATTTTACTTTGTGAATTTTGATTTTGTCATCTGGAAAACGGGCGTGATCGTAATTACCTCTCTGGGTGGTGATGGGATTGACCGAATAATACATAATCTGAGAAGTACTGCACCTCCACTGCTTAATTTAAATTCTCCAGCCTGGTTTTCCAATTCTAAATCAGAGTTCTGGGTAGATAAATGCATTATCAATGAATAAGAAGTGAAACCCACACCCCCTTCCAGTAATTCCTCAGCAAACACTGGCTGGGATAACTTGTTAGAGAACTTGGATTTACAGGAAAACACGAAAGAATTTCAGAGTGCCAGCTAGCATAATGTCAGTGGTAGTTCTCTACTCACCTGAGTTTTCACTCCCATGAATGAATGTTAAATGAGTAGCTGCTGCTTATAATTTTTATAATATTGTAGGTTGACTAGAAATTTGTCACAGCATCTTACCTACGGGAATCCTGGGTCTTTACACAGAGATTATAGGAGACTGTCGTTCAGCTGTTGAGTAATTTGTAATGAAATAGCTGATAAGCACAAAAAGTACTTAACCTTGATAATAATTCTTTGATGTTGATTATGAGCTATATGTTGATTACAGCCTAAGTCTATCATGGTCTTAATAACTAAACTCAAGAAACTAGATTTTGGTCCAGGAGAGGTATAAAAATCCCATCTCTCCCTGACTCCTGCACCCCTAGCAATTTCCTTCTTCACATGCTGGTTTCAATTTGCATCTTCATAGTCACTGATCTATTCCAAACATTCTTGACATTTAAAAAATATACCTCTAAGATCCCCAAATCATTTTAAGTTTTACCTGTTTTGAGAGTTTATAGGACATTTTAAGGTTTGGGGATATAAGACAATCAGAGAGCGACAGCGACCTGCTGTTGCTACTGCAGGTCATAATGGAGACCTTAGTGAACTGTGTTATCACTGTAGTGAGAGTCATCATCAGCCTTTTGGAAAAGTGAAGAACAACAAAATCCGGAGTGCATCACACACAGCTAGGGGAAAGATTTCCTAAAATTCTTGTTTCATACAAAGTATATGCCTGTACAGAGGCTAGGATAGAATATGTATCATAGCTCTCTGTTAAAAAAAAATATTGAAAGCCACAAGGAGATGTGATCTTAATTTTTTAGAATGGGAAAAAAAGTCCTAGAAGTTGAAATGACCCCAAGCTATAGCACTGCCAAGGGGGAACTGGGGAAGGTGCCATATTTATTTCCACAGGTGTCCTTCAGCCCCTGGTGCTGGAGTAAAATTGCTCTAGCTGGGGTGCACTCTTCTGACCCTCAGACATTTGGTGCATGGAAAAAAAAGGTTTTTAAAATTTAAGGCAATTCTCTGATTTTGCCAGAATCAAAGACCAAACAAACACTAACTGGCCACTGGCAAACACGTGTTTCCCCGTGGCCTCCCTTCCCTCTCTCCTGATCCATATGCAATATTCAGTACAAGACGCTCACCAGAGGGCTTAGAACACCGGTTACAGAGAACTGAAAAATCAACAAAGTCACTTACTCTGCCCGCAAGGTATCCAGTTCAGAACGCACCACCAGATGTTAAACATAGAGGCGTGGTGGTACACGTGAAGAAAAGTAATCTGACTGGTTTTTTTCCGCAAAACAAAGAAAATTGTGTCCAGGAACTCTATGGATTTGGAGAAGTAGTACCACCATAACACCTTGGCTACCTGTAAGAATGTGAAAACAGGAACAGAAAAGGTGAACCATGAAAATGCCCCTCTGCTGCCCTAGCTCCCTCTCAGAAACCTGTGTTTCACTCGCACGCATTTTTCTCAGACAACCAAGACAGTATCTTCCTGACGCCTCTGTTTCCAGTTTCTCCTTATTCCCAGCAACCCACCCCACTCTGGCGAAAACGAGTTGCCCCTCCAACAAGCAGATCTGATCAGGCTGCTCCTGTGCACCTGCAGAGCCCAGGCTCCTGCCCCGAAGGCACAGCTGCCACCTCCAGGGCCCCCTCGGACACACGTGGTCAGCGTGCTCTGCTCACCCTTCCTCCAGCACCTGCTGCGATGTGTGCACTCCGGGCTTCCTAGCACCCTCCTCCCCACATCCACCCTCCTACCTCTGGAACTCTACCTTCCCCTCCTCCTGGCTTGTCTTAGGCCGAATCAGCCACTGCTGCCTTTGTATTCCCCAATTTATGTCTTTGCTCTCAGTAAGCCTGACCTGTCATTAGGGTCACGCAGGGCAGGGACCGTCCCCCCTTTGCTCAGTGCTTAGCACTCAACAGATCACCACTGTTGGTTACACTAGGTTTTCATTTTTTTTCCCTATTCCTCTAAGGTACCTATGTTTTTGTCTCTTAACCGCTCGAGGGCCCAGGAGCAGCCTATAAGTAGAAGACTACTTGTCTCAAGTCTCCTCAGATTTAAAATCCAGATGCCTCCAGGGTTGTATGGAAGTACTGAATCACAACAGTGTACACCTGAAACTAATATCACACTGGGTATTAACTGAAATTTAAATAAAAACTTAAAATCAAAATGCTCTTCCTCCCACTTCCCTTCCCTCCTGAGCCCCTTACAAAAGTCTCAGCTACAGGGGGAAACACTTTAAGGATGCTGTGGTTTTAGTGGTAACATTTAAACATATGAGAAGATTATATATGATGGGAACTCTGAAGTTAGAATATCATGCTCTATTGTCTGCTTCCCAAGAACATAATAAGGTGTGGTGGCTTGTCCACCTTAATGTTTAAGGGTACAATTAAACTTCACAGGCATTAAGCCAAATATAAACCTCAACAACAACCCTTAGAGAATATCCCAAAATATGGTCTGTGATAATACATTAGAAATAAAGTGGGTGCAGAGAAATATATACTTTTTTTTGTATTACAGCTTTGAAGATGGATTTTTAAAAAGTTAAAACTGTACATCTTAGTAGAAACCTTTTAATTAAAATCTTTAATATTATCGAATAAGCATGGTTTTGTTATAGAACTTGTCAAACATCCATAAATGCAAGGAGTATATGTATAAAGGACCTGTGTTATCACTAAACCTCAAAGTTCTTAACAGGATTCCAATTTGTTGAATTCTATTTCTGAACATTTTTAGGGGTGTGTGTGGCATATTATAAGCAAACGCAAAGTATCATTTTATAAAAACCAACACTTTTAAAAAATGTAACCACCATATTATCAGCCAATAAAATTAACTCCTTAGTATCTACTAATAGCTTCCTCCATGTTCAAATCTGTCTCAAAAATGTCTTTTTATAATTGACTTAAATCCGGATGCAAACAAGGTCCAGCTTGCACGATGCGCTGTGGTTCTTCAGTCTCTTCTGATCAGTAACAGCCCCCTTTCCTTGCTTCTCTCCACATGCTAAAGCTAGATCAGCTGTTGTACAGAATTCCTAATACTATGGATTCCTAGTGTTATTTAGCTTCTCTATCCCCTGACACCTTCTAGAGCTAGCAACTAGATTTAGAGGCTTATGGGACTGATATTTAGGGGTTTGGGCAGGAGTCCTTGGCCTGAGGTTCTGTGTACTTCCTGGCCATCACACTGGGAGGCACAGAATTTTGGGGTGTCCTGCTGACCTTTTTTAACAGAGTTCAGGTATTAACAGCCAAATCCAATCATAATGAAGTTTCTGGTCACCTTTCACCCAACAGTTTTATCGCTTATGAATGACTGCTGAACAGATCCATCATTCCACTAGACTTGCAAAAGAATGATTTTCTAATTATCTTTTTACACATTTTCCTCTTCTATAGAGAAGAGCTCTTCCTCTATTTGGAAATTCACATACGAAAGTAAAAAAAAAGAGGCACCTGGGTGGCTCCACATTAAGCGTCTGCTTGGGCTCCCATCATGATTTCAGTGTCCTGGGATCCAGCCAGCCCTCTGTCCTCCTGGGCTCCCTGGTCACCAGGGAGTCTGCTTCTCCCTCAACCTCTGCCCCTTCCCCTACTCATCCTCTCTGATAAAATCTTTTTTTTAAAGATTTATTTATTTATTCATGATAGAGAGACAGAGGCAGAGACACAGGAGGGGGGAGAAGCAGGCTCCACGCCGGGAGCCCGATGCAGGACTTGATCCCGGGACTCCAGGATCACGCCCTGGGCCAAAGGCAGGCACTAAACTACTGAGCCACCCAGGGATCCCCTCTCTCTGATAAAATCTTAAGCAAAGGTAAATATTCCTTTCCCTTTAACTTTTTTTCCCTAGAATGAGTTGGTATTCTAGCAACCTTCAAAAGATAACAAGGTATGATTTAGGATCATTTTAAACTCATGGTTTTTAAATAAATTTAATGTTTCAATCCATTCCAGTCAGTAATCTTTTTGAATTGTCTCATCTTGAGCACTGGGAGTCCCCTACAAGGTGGCTCCTACATCTTTTTGTAATGATCGGAGTAGTCCTGGACAGTTTGCTTGCTCTCTGTCACAAGATGTCCTCAATTCTGCTTATATACTTCCCACCCCAAACCGGGAACTGGCCAATTCTCTCAGAACCCTAATCCCTTCTGGTGCAAAATTATATTTAGAAAGCACAATCTGGGTATTCATTGCTCATTGCGCTAGGCTGTCAAAGACTGACTAGGCCTTTTCTGAAGATTAGCTAAAAAAGAAAATTGTTTTTAGAAAGAAGAAATCCTAATATTTCCAATATGAATCTATGATTGTTAGTTTTTTTTATTGATGCCTTTTTTCCATGTCTCATATGCTAGTTGTAATGCTATTATCATATACTTATCCTAGAGTATCTATAATAGTCTCAAAAAAGCAATACCAATATTTTAATTAACAGAAACCAAAAAAATTACTGAATATTATTAAGATATATCCCCGTAGGGATGCTCAGTCAAAACAGTGTTTTTAAGTCACTTGGAGTAATTCTGTAGATGGTTATGTCACCAACTTAATACAAGGATACATTCATTTATTTTTGTTTCCAGGTTTTAGGAAGGCTGCCTTGCTTTTTTTTTTTTAACTTGATTTTATTTCACTACGTAAAACACTTAATGGTTCCAAAATCAAATATGACACCGAGTACATTCAGAGACGTTTAGCTTCCCTATCGCCCTCTGCCCAGTTCCTTCACCCAAAAGGAGACCACTTTGTTAGGTTTTGGTTTATTCTGACACTGTCTTTTTATTTTTTTACTTTATTTAGCCACTATTTTTAAAAACAAGCACATGTATCACTTCTTGCACAAAGGGTACTATCTGCAAATTGGTGTTTTTTTTGGTTTTTGTTGTTGGTCATGTTTTTTACTTAGAGAATGTCCCAGAGGTCACTCTGTTAACAGTACAGAGATCTTCCTCATTTCGTTTTGCAAAAGGATCAATTTCTGGGTGGGCCATGGCTTAGTCAGTCCCCCACCGCTGGACATTTAGAAGAATTTTGTTACCAAGCGTTTCTATTAGAAGAGGAGGACTCTCTTTCTTCTGTAATCCCAGCCCCATCCCCATATCTGGAAGGAGAAAGCCGCCTCTCCTTTTTAAGGAGAGATGGTTGCAGATGGTCAATTAGCTTCTCAGGACTCACCCGGACATCAGCTTCCCCGGCACTGGTAAGATCTTGACACTGTAAATTGTAGCCTCCTTCCCAGCTGGAGAGAAGAAGCTGAAGAAGAAACAAAGGAGGAAAAATTAACACTAAAATTGAGAAAACTGAATTTCCTCTTCATGTTCCTGACTGACGTCTATTCAAGGTTTGAGTAAAAGCATGAGTTTCTCAATCCTGTCCTCAAACACATGTGATCAAAGGATTTAATTCTTGCTGTAGATACCAGTGGTTGTCTTCCTAAAAGGGGATAATTTACTTCTAACCTTTACAGCAGCCCCAAGGAACAGAATTTGACTATAGTCCGAGTAACAATATTTTATGTAAAGAATCATCTTGTCATGTGTTTCTACAGATGAAATGTAGGATTACATGTACGCAACTGAGAAAACTAAAGTTTGGTTGTTTTTTTGTTTTTTTTGTTTTTTAAGATTTGCTTATTAGAGCAGGGGAGGGGCAGAGAGTGAATCTCAAGCAAACTCCCCTCTAAGCATGGAGCTTGACACAGGGCTTCATCTCCTGACTGGAGCTGCAAAGGAGTCTGACACCCAGTTGACTGAACCACCCAGTGTTATTTAATATTAATTAATACTTTGTATTGGCTTATACTTATCTTAGTTGATCATCTCTATAATTCTATGAAGTACATATTTACTACCATTTTATAGGCGTGAAAACTAGGGATCAAAGGTTAAGTCATTTTCTTCACTGTATTTATGCTACCTGGTAATCAATCGTTTGTGTGATTATAATATCTCTATCCTTCATTATGTTGAAAAAACCAAAAAGCTCTAGAAAGGTCTGTGCATTTTTTGCTCATCTTTGAATCCACTGTTCCTTGCCCAATGTCCAGCATATAGAAGGCACTCAATATAGAGAAGAAAATGAGCTTTTAAATTCTTCGTGGAAAATTCAGCCCACGAAGTTCTGTCTCTTTCCTGTTATTACTGCAAAAACCTAAATGTAAAGCATAGATTTATAAGGTATGTTTTCCCTTCATCAAATAGCATTTAGGGGAAAATAATTTGAGAAAAATTTTTAACCTTTCCAAGTTCAGTAACATGACACAAGTAGTCATTTACATTTGCTGAATGAAAAGTATCTCTAGCTATGGAAAGAAATCTGCACATCTGACAAGTCTGACAAGGACTTCTGAATATTCTATATTTGTGTATATTGTGAAATGATCACCCTGCTAAGCCCAGTTAACATGTTACATAAGGTATGCAAAAGCCTACTGTTTGTGGCTGCTCATCAGATGTATAAAGGTGTTGAAATACACAGAGTAGGGACGGATGGGATGTTAAAACTGAACAATAAAAACAGGTGAACTACTAAAAAAAAATTATATTGTTTAAAACTACCTGACAATTTAAAATCTAAATGGAACTAAGCAGTTGGGGCTCCTAGGTGGCTCAGCTGGTTGAGCAGGCGACTCTGGGTTTCAGTTCAGGTCATGATCTCGGGGTGGTAGGATTGAGCCCCGTGTCCGGCTCTGTGCCCAGGGGGAGTCTGCCTGAGATTCTCTCTGCCCCTCCCCTCTGCACTATGAAAGAAGGGAAAGGAAAGAAAGAAAATCCTCCAGTGGCTTGCCATTATACCCAGAGTAAAAGCCCAATCCTTTACAACGCCATCTACAGATCTTCTACTTTTCCACCTCCTTATGAATCCTTCCCTCCTCTGTCCAGGATGTTCGAGCTGCACCACTTGTTTTTATGGTCTTTGAACACCCCAAGCTTGTTCCTGCCTCAAGGCCTTTATGTTTGCTGCTTCTTCTGCATAAACACACTCTCCAAACCTTTGCATGCTTGGTTTTCATCATTCAGTTTCTGTTCAAATACCGCATCCTCGGAGAGGCCTTCCTGCCCTACCACAAGCCCACCACTCACTGTTGCACAAGGGAAAGGCTGTGTTGCAGAATCTAGAATAGAATCTGACACGGTGTAGAGACTCCACACACAGTTGTTGAAAGAACGTTAAAATTTTATCTTCCTGGCCTATGCAAACATCTGAACTGGGCTTAACAAGTTAGCAAGGTTAAATCAACCTACCACTCAACAAGCGCCTATTAAACATGTCCCAAAAGTGTCCAAGACCCTGGAAGAGGCTACAGTCAGAGGAGACTAGGAGGCGATCAACAGTAGTGATTCTGACCCAGAGGAACAGAAGAGTGAGAACAACAGTGGGTGAGCAATAGATAAGGTTCATGGTAGAAATGAGCTCAGTGCAGGTGTTCTCCCTACAAAGGGGCAGAAACCACTTACTTGTTCAAACACTAACCTAGTGTTGGTCCTTTAATGGTGAATACTATTCACTTTAATATTTATCCAGCACTTCTGTATATACTAACTCCTGTGTACTAGTCTGTGAACTTGTCAAGTACAGGAATCTTGTTACTCATCTCTGTATCTCCCTGGTTCATCAGTATAATTCACAGCACCTAGTAGGTGCTCAGAGAATGTTGGCTGAACAAAACTGATTAATCCTTATAGCTCACTCATGAGTTAAGGAGTTAAGGAGGACAAGTACCGTGTCACCATTTTACAGGTAAGTTGTCTAAGAGAGAGCCTAGTAACTCCTCTCGAATTTCTAGCAAAAGTGAGAGTGACACCTCAATTGAGGTCTTCTGACTTGACTACACCAAAGCTTCCAACAGGTATTAGAGCTTCCGGTGTAGCATTCAGGCTGCCCTTCTGACACAGGTGCTGCTTCTGAAAACAATCCAAGGAAGACCATCTTTCCCTGTGTTTCTTCCCAGAGAATCTTACCCTGCCAACCGCTATCTTACAAGCCTATCTAGTAAATGAAAATTTACCTACTTGAAAATTTAAATAGAAATTTTCCTTTCAGGAACACCTGGGTGGCAGTCAGTTAAGCGTCTGCCTTTGGCTCAGGTAATGATCTCAGGGTCCTGGGATTGAGCCCTGCATGGGGCTCCCCACTCAGCGAGGAATGTGCTTCTCCCACTCCCTCTGCCCTTCCCCATCGCTTGTGCTTGTGCACATGCTCTGTCTCAATAATGTAAGTCTTAAAAAAAAAATTCCCCTTTCAGAGTCAGGTAAATTAGAATAACCAATGTGACAGGACTGTAGAGTGACTTTCCTGACCCTAGATTCCCTTGCCTGTACTCTAATCATGGGGTTGTAGGCATAAGTTTCAGAAGTCATGCAAAGTAATGGTTATTAACCATTCTCAGAATGGTTATCCTATGATCACAATGCACAGATCAAACTCTGTGAGAGGATTTGTATTTTAGAAAGAATTTATTTTCTTCTAGAATTCGAGGACCAGGAAGGCCACTATACTTGTGCCATCGTCAGACATTTATAACGCACATGAATGACTCTGCCCTAATCGTTCCCTCAGGTTTTGTCCTGTTTTGTCTTCCCTCCCCCTGAGGCTGCTCAATGGAGCAGGTTTATTTGGCACTTTCTGATTTTCCTCTGTAGTGGACTGGAACAGCCTCGGGTTGTACAGGCAGGGCAACTGTTACTTGTTCTTTTTCTTGTAGAATAACTTGGGTTTGGCATGTTACAAAGGAATGGGCGATGCGTGATGTAATGGGGGCAGCAGGAGCTGTGGGCAGGAAAGTCAGCCCGGGGCCAATGGGTACAGGGGCCTAGAGACGCAAGCAGCAGTCCTGAAGGGATGATGTATTTCAGACTAACTGCATTTCATATTTAAGTTAACTTAAAAACTACTCTGTAATTCAAGAGCTAGCTCTTCTCAGGCCATCACACATCTTTTCCCAGCCTCAGTAGAACTCTGTAAAAGGACAAAATCAGAACATCTGGGCTTTAAAGGCCTATCAGGTCTAAATACTGATTTTAAATTACAGTGAAAGACAAAGGACTAAAGACTAAGGACTAAATATGAGAAATATTCCAGTGAGAGGCAAAGACTTCCAAGACTTTTGGAAGGAATAACAGCAAACACTGGAACGGTTGTTGAGATCATCAGGAATGCAGCCTCGGGCAGCTCCAGCAGGCCAGCTCTACGCGCCAGGGCCACCCCCTCACTGGAAACACTTACCTCTGCCAGCATGTATAGGGAGAGAAGTGTGATCCCGAGATTGTACAAGGTGAGGATGCCCCTGAGGGAGAGAGCATGTCTGTTCTTCATGTATTTGTTACCCAGCCATATGGAAAGCAGATACAGGACAGTGAGAAAGAAGGTAGGAAGGTAAGAGTCCAACATGAACCATCCTCTGACTCGAGAATCTGAAAAGAAACACAGACAGTGAGAATCCTGAAGAGTAGCGCTTTGGTTTAGTTATAAAATCTTATCACATATATTTAAAACTTTTTTTTTTTTAACTGAGTATACCTGACATACAATATATGAGTTTCAGGGGTACGATGCGATCCAATATTTGCAAATACACTGCAAAACGATCACCATGAAAAGTCTAGTTACCATCCATCACCTTGGTTACAAAAATTCTTTTCTTGTGGTGAGAACTCTTTAAGACCCACTGTCACGTATATTTTCTTTGTACATACCCAATACAACCAGCAGCAGTACAACACAGCATTCACTAAGCTGGATATGGATTACGGTTCAGAAGAACCACCCTGTGGGGGTAGTTAAGGAAGGTGTCATGGGGCAAACAGGGCTTAGGACATGGAGTGACAAGGACAAGTAATGAAGGTGGGAAATTGCAGCATCTTCTTTGGAACAGTTACTATGTTAATTTAACCCAATAAATAGGAAGGACTACTAGGCCATTTTGTGGGTGAAGACCGGCTCAGAAAGCTACAGTAACGTGCCAAGGGCACACAGGAGACTTGCTGCTTCCTTCTGAGAAGTCTGGAGCAGGCAGGACAGAAGGGGTATGGACAGTGTATACCACATCATAAAACCCTCACTCCCAGAGCTCGCCGAGGAACCTATGTAGTGAACCAGGCGGGGTTTCAAGTTCAGCTGAGCCAGAGCAGTGGGACCGCACAACAAGCAGGGGAAGCTCAAGACCGTAAACCAAAACCTCGGAGCTGATGATTCAGGCATGAGGGCAGGAAATACAACTGAGGACTGAAACCCGACCATGGACTAGAAGAAGTATAAACAGCCGGGAGGCAAGAACCAAGATATGCCAAAAGTTCCTTACCCTGGAGAGTGAAAATGTCAAAATCTAAATAAAACACACATAATAGATAAAATAATTAGTAATATCTGAAAAGAACTGTAGGCCCAAAATGATGTTACTTCTCTATTCTGCCTTTTGCTGTTTACATAAAGAAAATAATTTGGCCCACGATCACAAAAAATGGCCTGCTGCTTTTAATCTCTGTAAATGGAGTTGGAAGGAGCTGGTTTCTCCAGCATATCACGCCCTTTCCTTCCTGTCCCTCTTTCTGCTCCACTCTACCTACCCCACACACCCCGGCCCCCCTTACTCCACCTCACCCGGTAGACAGTACGGAGGAAAGTGTAATCACGTATTCTGCAAACCCCTCCAGTTTTGACAGAGATAACAAGGTAGGGAAGGAGCTCTTCTCAGCATCCACGGGACTAACAGAGCTTACTTATCTTTCATTCTGGAAAATCGCAAGTCCTAAGAGTCTGTGCTATGTGCCACTTCCTAACGTCCACCTCCATATCTAAATCCTACGCAGCTTCTAACAACCCGATAAATGTCCTGACCTTTTTTTTTTTTAAAAAAAAAGATATTTGTTTATTCATGAAAGAGAGAAAGAGAGAGGTAGAGACATAAGGCAGAGAGAGAAGCAGGCTCCCTGCAAGGAGCCCAATGCAGGACTCGATCCTAGATGCTGGGATCACACCCTGAGCCAAAGGCAGACCCTCAATCACAGAGCCACCCAGGCGCCCCACGTCCTGCCTTTTGAAGCGAGCCATTCGTTTCCTACTCTTCTTTCACAATTACAGCTCCTTGTCTGCATAACAATTCTCACTTAAAATCACAGTATTATTATGGCTGGAAAAGTGTTATTACGACGAACATTTACTGAGCACGTGTTCTGTACATGTATTCACTACTTAATTCTCAAAGCAATCTAATTATATAGGTGATATTTCTTTTTTTCAAAGCTCTTACATTTTTTTAAATAAATTAATTTTTTATTGGTGTTCAATTTACCAACATACAGAATAACACCCAGTGCTCATCCCGTCAAGTGCCCCCCTCAGTGCCCGTCACCCATTCACCCCCCACCCCCCGCCCTCCTCTCCTTCCACCACCCCTAGTTCGTTTCCCCGAGTTAGGAGTCTTGATATTTCTAACAGTTTTATTGAGGTATAACATATATCTGCACATATTTAATGTGTGAAATCTGATGTGTCTGGACTTAAGCAAACATCATGATGCCACCACCACACAGACCTATCCACCACACACAGGTGATAGTGTTATTCCCAGTTAATGTCTGAGAAAAATTGCACAGAATTTTAAAAAGTTAAATAATTGCCCTCAACTGCTACCCTACCTCCTGGTACAGTGTTGTGGATTGAACTGTGTTCCCCAAAAGAAACGTTCAAGTCCTGAGACCTGCGTGACTACGACCTTATTTGGAAATAGGGTCTTTGCAGGTATGGCCACGTTAAGATGAGGTCACGCCGGATCAGGAGGGCTCTAGCCCAGGGACTGGCGTCCTATATAACGAGGGGAGATTTAGACACGGAGACACGGGGACACGGGGAGGAGAAGCCATGTGAAGACGAAGGCAGAGACTGAGGAGATGGCTCTTCAGGCCAAACAATGCCAAAGATTTGTGACACCACCCAAAGCTAGGAGGGAGGCTGGGAACGGACTGTTCCCTAGAACCTCAGAGGGAGCACAGCGCTGCCAACACCCTGAGGTCACACTCGTATCCTCCAGAACTGAGACAGAATAAATCACTGTTGTCTTCAGCCATGCAGCTTGCAGTGCTTTGCCAGGACGGCCCAGAAAGCCAGTGCCCACGGTTCACGGCTCTGAGTGCTTCAGGCTCCAGGCGGCCTGATCTCAGGGTCTGCTCCGCAGGGCGGGCCCAGGCCTTCTCCCTCTGCCCTGCCTCACTCTACGCCACTGGGTTCCGCGTCGTCAGAGATTTCAAGTGGCATAATGAGGCGAGCACATATTACAAAACTCCTACAGCACCTAAGTTTCTTTCTTTTTGGTCCTAGTCCTGTAAATGTTTGCCACATTTGTCAAGGAGGAAAAATAAGCGTCCCAACCAATAGAGAGGAACAGATACATGTAATAAGACTTCTCCTCTTTGGCATGGAGGTGTTAGTGCGTCACCTGTGTCCGGTATTTGCCCAAGAACAATATCCCTTGGTGACCTGCGGGTGCGTAAATGCAGAAGAGACTGGGCCCCGGAGCGAACGAGGTGGCCTCCAGCGAGCCTCCCCCTTGTAGGCAGGGGCGCGGGGTCGGGAGCGCCCAGGGGCTGGCCTCGCCCTCGCTGCGGGGCGCCCGGCCCGGCTGTCCACCGTCAACCTCCCAACCTCCTCAGGGCGTGAGAACCTCCCGTAAGTGGCCGGAGCGGAGGAAACGACCGAAACACCCGCCCTGACGGGACGGGACGGGACGGGACAGGACGGGACGGGACGGGACGGGACGGGACGGGACGGGACGGGACGGGACGGGACCACCAGCCGCGTAACTGCACATCTCAGCGGGCGCAGGGTGCGCGGGCCGGGTCGGAGGCCGCCTCGCTGCCTCAGGGCCCCGCAGAGCTCCCGCCCCCCCGCCGAGCACCCCCCCTGCTGAGCACCCCCCCCCACCCCGAGCGCCCCCCCCACCGAGCACCCCCCACCCCGAGCGCCCCCCCCGCCGAGCACCCCCCTGCTGAGCACCCCCCACCCCGAGCGCCCCCCGCCGAGCACCCCCCACCCCGAGCGCCCCCCGCCGAGCACCCCCCTGCTGAGCACCCCCTACCCCGAGCACCCCCCTGCTGAGCACCCCCCCACCCCGAGCGCCCCCCCCGCCGAGCACCCCCCTACCCCGAGCGCCCCCCCCGCCGAGCACCCCCCTACCCCGAGCGCCCCCCCCCTACCCCGAGCGCCGCAGGCCGGGCCAGCGCTGTGCCCCCCCCAACCCTTCCCCACCGAGGCGGAGGCGGAGGCCGCGGTCCGCAGGGTCCCGAGGCGCCGAGGATGGGCCCTGCCCACCCCACAGGGCGCGCACGTGTGTGGGGGCGGGAACTATGAGTTTCTGTGAGCGCTGTGTAGCGGCGCCCGTTGGCTCCGCGGAGCAAGTGACCCCGGATCTCGGGGTTGGGAGTTCGAGCCTCACGGGGGACGCAGAGATTACTTAAAAACAAAATCTTTTAAAAATAGTGAGCTGGATGCAATCACACCGTATCATCAGGTGAAACCTACACACGGTCATCATTTACGGTGGTTTCTAAGGCCTTTGCAGAGACTGAAGGGGCCTCAGTTCTCTCTACAAGGAGAGAGGAAAACCTCGTTTCCTTCCACCCCCTGCCCGACAGGCAACCACCGAGTTCCCAGGGTGCGCACCGGCAGGGCTCAACTGAAACAAAACACGTTTGGGAAAAGCTTATTTAGTTGCAAGCTGCGCAGGGAGACCTCAAACCTGGTAGAACCGCAGAGAAACGCGGGAAAGGCTGTGGATGGGAGAGCGCAGGCGCGCTGGGAGCTGGGGGGGGGGCGGGGCAGGCGAGGACGCAAGTGCGCAGGCGCCCCAGCCACAGTCGTGGCAAAGCGGGCGCATGGCGGACAGGCGAGCAGCGATGGCAGGTGACTGCGCATGCGCGATGGGAGGCGCGTGGGCAGAGCACAGAGCAAGGCACGTGACTGTGCACGCGCCGACAGGAGGCGCGTGGGCAGAGAAAGGCACGTGACTGCGCATGCGTGGACGGGGAGGCGCGTGGGCAGAGCACAGAGGAGAGAAAGGCGCGCGGGTCAGCGGGGGAGCAGCGGCAGAGCGGCCCCGCGTTCCCAGCCGGAGACTCCAGAGCTGGGCCCTGCCTGCGGCTCCCGGGATGTCCTGGGAGACCTGGGAGAAGGGCCGCGGAGGCGAGGCAGGTCCAACCTCCGAAGGCTGATACCCTGTTTTCGAGACAGGACAAGGGAGGAAACCCTCTGGCCCCGCACGAAGTTCTCAAGCAGCTCACTCACCTCGAGGTCCAAACATATTGTCCAAAAAAGCATTGATTTCATCATCAAAGGCCTTTAGATGCTCCTGTAGAGATAAAGAAAAAAATGATTTAAGGGGTACTTTCGGGAAACTCTCAAAACCGACCACTACCAACAGAACAGCTGCCGGGATCTCCCGGGCCTAGCTCCGGGACTTTGAGCTGCAGATGCAGGAAAACGGAGCAGTTAAATGCAGCCCTCACGAACTTGCGTGGATTTGGAAGGAAACCATTCCTCCTTCCCTTCCTTGGCCAACAGGAGTCCTGGAAAACAGGCTTGGTACACTTGAACGTCCAAGAGTTACTGGCCTTAATTTCATTTCCCTCTAAAATGCTTAAGAGGCATAGGCTCTCCCATAGGCAGCTTCTATTGTTGCAATGAACAGAAGTCGCGGGCAAGCAACAGGATCTATGCCTGCAGGTATAATGTAATTGTTCAATGAAAATTCAGCTGAGTTGTGTTTCACAAAGCTGAATCTAAAGCTTTGAAGGGGACTTCTTTTTTAAATGAAATCAAGCGCTACAGTTCTTTTAAGTAACCTTCATATTTTGTTTTCAAAACGTTTTCTACACATATGCATTTAAGAGCACAGTAAGCAGAGTCACTAGGGTACATCAGATTATTACTGCTACTTTAACTGGATTGGGGTTGAGGTGGAATTTCTGCTAAGAATCTTATGGTTGCTAAATTGGCCGCAGGCTCTTGGTTTAGCTCCTGTTCTTGCTGGTGTATTATTATACTGCTTAGAATACCTGCTAAGGTGTTCCCTACTCCTGCTACAATGGTCTAGCGCACCTCCTCAAGCAAAGGGGAAAAAAGGCAAAGCAACCCTCAGTATTTCTAAGGGAAGGGACCTTTGATGAGAATTTCTGGGGCCAGTGGATTGGTGAACAGAGGGTGACAGCCCTTGGGACATTCCTCTAGACCATTCTCTATAATCAATAGGTGGAGTGCAGTCAAAGCATCTCATTCTCAAAGTATAAGTGCCAAAGAGAATTAACTTACTGGCATCTGAAAAGATCTATACTTTTGGTGATTGGCACCTACCATTTACACCTATTTCTTATTTGTGACTTTGATCCTGAGAAAATTTTAGGGAATCTTAGGTCTTTGGGGACTTTAGGAAGCTTGGAAGACAGAATGGGGAGTAGTGGCTGACATCTGTTAGCACCTATACCTGGCCATGTATTAGGCCCTTAGTACCTCTATAAAAAGTATCTGGGCTAAAACAAGCTTGGAAGTTTTTACACAGTCTTTCGGCTTCCTTGAAGGACATCTTGGGAAACCTCTAGACTTGAGAAGGTTCACCTACCTCACATCTCAGTGTGACTAAGATTTATGTTGCCATTAGAAAAGAGCAGACCTGTCTTGAAGCCTCTCATTCTTGAGCAAAGAATGTTGACCTCACTGATGAACCCACCCTCCTAACAAATACCAGTGAAATCTTCCTTTCATTGCCACATCCACCCACACGTTTAAACTTTTTCAGTCTGTTTGCTATGGTCAAAATCCATTTTCTCACATCTGTAGGTCTAAGAAAACTCTAAAGGTCACAAAGCTTGTATTCGTTCTATAATGTTGCAGAAATTTAGTCACAGTGAAGACCAGAAATCAAAGAAAAGAGCGGGGAAGATATGGAGAGACAGCAGAGTGGAAAAAAATGAATAACAAAGGGCATTCCACACCATTACCCGGATAACAAAACCAGATGACGCTACAAAAACAAAACAAAACAACAACAACAAAAATCCCTGCAGGCCAATAGCTCTGATGAACATAGACACAAAAATCCTCAACAAAATATTAGCAACCAATTCCAACAACACATTAAAAGGATCATTTACTACAAACAAGTGGAATTTATTCCAGAGATGTAACAGTGGTTTGATATTTGCAAATCAATCTGATACATCACATTAACAAGAGGAAGAATAAAAACCATGTGATCATCTCACTAGATTCCGATAAAGCATTTGACAAAATGCAACATCCATTCATGATGAAAACTCTTAACCAAGTGCGTTTAGAGGACCCATACCTCAACATAATAAAGGCCATATTGGAAAAACACACTAGGAGCTAACATTATACTTGATAGTGAAAAGCTGAATGCTTTTCCTCTAAGCTCAAGAACAAGACAAAGATGTACACTCTCAGGACACTTATTCATCGTGGTACTGTGAAGTTGTAGCTGCAGGAACCTGACAAGAAAAACCAAATTGGTAAGAAAGAAGTAAAACTGTCATTATTTGCAGATGACATGATGCTATAGATAGGAAATCCTAGGACTCCACCAAAATCCCTTAAAATGGATAAATAAATCAGTAAAGTCACAAAATACAAAATTAATATACAGAAATCTGTTGCATTTCTATATGCTAGTGAAGTAGCAGAAAAAGAAATTTAAAAAACACTCCAATTTACAGTTGTTCCAAAAACAATAAACTATCTGGAAATAAATTTAACCAAGGAGATGAAAGACTTATACACTGCAAACTATAAGACACTGAAGAAAGAAATTGAACATGACACAAATAAATGGAAAGATAGACCATGCTCATGCACTAGGAGAATATTGCTAAAATGTCCATTCTACCCGGAGCAATCTATAGATTCAATGCAGTCACTATGCAAAATACCAGTTGTGTTTTTCACAGAAATAGAGTAATACTGAAATTTGTATGGAACCACAAAAGACCTTAAGAACAAAGTTAGAGTTACCACAGTTTCAAATTTCAAGACATACCACAAAGCTATAGTAATCAAAACAGTATGGTACTAGCACACACACACAAAAAAAAAAAAACAAACACAGAGATCAACAGAACAGAATAAAGTCTAGAAATAAACCCAAACCTATATGGTCAATTAATCTATGACAAAAGAGTCAAGAATGTACAATGGGAGAAGACAGTCTTTTCAATAAAGGCTGCTAGAGAAATTGGACCACATTCTTACACCATACACAAAACTAAACTCAAAATGGATTAAAGACCTAAATATGAGACCTGAAATCATAAAACGCGTAGAAGAAAACATAGGCAGTAATCTTTTGGGCATTGCCCTTAGCAATATATTTTTGGATCTGTCTCCTCAGGCGAGGGAGACAAAAGCAAAAATAAACTACTGGGACTATACCAAAATAAAAAGATTTTGCATAGCAAAAGAGAAACCAACAAAACAAAAAGACAATCTATTGAATGGGAGAAGGTATGTTCAAATGATCTATCTGGTAAGGAGTTAATATCCAAAATATACAAAAAACACATACAATGCCACACCCAAAAATAAATACTCTAATTTAAAAATTGGCAGACTATGTGAATAGACATTATTCAAGAAGACATACAGATGGCCAAAAGACACATGGAAAGACGCTCAACATCACTGTCAGGGGAAACTAACTGAAAACACAAGGAGATTATCACCTCAGACTTACTATCAAAAAGACAAGAAATAAGTGTTGGTAAGGATGTGGAGATATGGGAACCCTCACGCACTGCTGATGGGGAAATTAAACTGGTGCAACCACTATAAAGGACAGTATGGAGGTTACCCCCAAAGTTAAAAGTGAAATACCATATGACCCAGTAATCCCATTACTGAGCATTTACCCAAAGAAAACCAAAGCACTAATTTCAAAAATTACATGCCCCTCTGTTTATTGCACCATTATTTACAATAGCCAAGATATGGAAGCAACCCAAGTATTCATCAATATATGAATGGGTAAAGAAGATGTGGTGTATATATGCGATGGAATATCATTCAGCCATAAAAATGAGACATCTTGCCATCAGTGACAATATTGATGGACCTAGAGGGTATTATGCTAAGTGAAAGAAGTCTGACAAAGAAAAACAAATACCATATGGTTGCACTTATATGTGGAATCTAAAACACAAAACAAAAAAAAATGGACTCTTAAATACAGAGAACTGGTGGTTGCAGAGGGGAGGCAGATGGAGGACAGGTGAAATACATAGGACTAAGAGGAACTAATTTCCAGTTATAAAAGAAAGAAGTCACAGAGATAAAAAGTACAGCAACACTGTAATAACGTCATATGGTGACAGATGGTGACTACATTTACCATGGTGAACAATGTATAGAATTGAACCAATATATTGTACATGTGAAACTAATATAATGTATCTAAATAATACTTCAATAAATAAAAATAAATAGAATGGACATCCCAATTTTTCAGTCATTAACATATTGATTGATTAATTGTCTGAACATTACTATGTGCCAGCACCATGTTAGATGCTGAAATATGAAGTCAAATGAGACATGGTACTCATCTTTACAGGACAAGTACATCAATAATTACAATATTAATGTCTTAAAGACAAGAGAAGCTGCAGGTATGTACTGTAAGAACATAGAGGAGATGTGAAATGGTGCAGCCACTCTGGAAAACTGTGTGGAGGTTCCTCAAAGAGTTAAAAATAGACCTGCCCTATGACCCAGTAATTGCACTGCTGGGGATTTACCCCAAAGATGCAGATGCAATGAAACGCCGGGACACCTGCACCCCGATGTTTCTAGCAGCCATGTCCACAGTAGCCAAACTGTGGAAGGAGCCTCGGTGTCCATCAAAAGATGAATGGATAAAGAAGATGTGGTTTATGTATACAATGGAATATTCCTCAGCCATTAGAAACGACAAATACCCACCATTTGCTTCAACGTGGATGGAACTGGAGGGTATTATGCTGAGTGAAGTAAGTCAATCGGAGAAGGACAAACATTGTATGTTCTCATTCATTTGGGGAATATAAATATATAGTGAAAGGGAATAGAGGGGGAAGGGAGAAGGAATGGGTAGGAAATATCAGAAAGGGAGACAGAACATGAAGACTCTTAACTCTGGGAAAGGAACTAGGGGTGGTGGAAGGGGAGGAGGGTGGGGGGTGGGGGTGACTGGGTGGCGGGCACTGAGGCGGGCACTTGACGGGATGAGCACTGGGTGTTACTCTGTATGTTGGCAAGTTGAACACCAATAAAAAATAAATTTATTATAAAAAAAGAACATAGAGG